ATGTGACGTGGAGAATGTGGAGGACAGACTCAGTGTGAGGAGGCTAGGGAGATTTTCCCTGAAATGATACTAAAACTTCTAGAACTATATCCTATCCCTCTGTTAAAATGGAATGTAAAACTGCTAGAAGATGCTTTTGAGAAAAAATACGGATTCCAGCCAGGTAATTTCAAAGTAAACCCTGGAATAAATAACCTGTTGGATAGCACACATATTAATGGCCCTCAAGCCATACACTGAAGCTCAGAATCCAATGTGATGAACCATTCACAAAGACTAAGAGATTGAGAGTTAAGAGTGGGAGGAGCGAAAATCCCTAGGGCGAGGGAATAGTAGTGGTTAGCGCAGCCTGTTCTCACCTGTCCGGATGAGAAATGGAGGTATTATTAGCTAATTTCCTCAAAGTTGTTTTCGTTATGTTCCCTGAAGAAGTACTGGAGGAAAATGAGAGATGCGATGTAACAAAGGAGAAGAATCCAGAGAGGACAAATGGAAAACCACAGAAATCACTCTTTCTGCAGAACAAAGAGACAGGCCATATTATTCTTTTAGTCTAGATGAGATTTGTATTATTAATGACTCTGTTTATATAGTGCCTGTTTTTCCTTGTTTAGTGAATTTAAGCATTTATGGAAAAGAGAGTCATGCCTAGTGAAAGCAGACACTTAATAAGTTTCTGCCATGTGCTGTGAAGAAAACCACCTCCACTAGGACTAATTGGCATCACCAAACTCTTTTTTGTCCAAAGCTGATTTTGAACTTCTGGGTCTGATCTCAGAGAGACCAGGCTATTGCCTATAGCTACTGCATCTCCTTGCTATATTTCTGCATGGTATTTATTTTGACGTTTTAATAACGCTCAGTTTTGAGAATGAAGCTATCTCCGCCGTTTTATGTGGGCAATAGTTTCTATTCCCTGAGAACCATTTAAATGAAACTCTTTTGTATCTGAAGAAATTGATGGTGATGCTTGGTAAATGTGTTTCAAATGCATTGTTACACATGTAAATAATTTGCCCTCTGGTGGATAATGAACAAGGCCACCGGTTTGGCAGCACTCCGTTCATACACATCATAGCTGTCCAGGGTCTGTGCATGATAGATATGCAAAAATATTCCCAAAAAGGGCTGTCTAGAATGTGCTATGAATTTGCGTCCAGCCATTTCCCACCGTAGTGCTGGTTTAAGTGGATTTAAAAGATCAGTGTCTACTTCAGGATTTGTACACTTAAATGACTTCAGGGGCTAGGTAGGTAACAAACATGTGTGAAACAGCCTGCTATTAAGACAGCAAAGGAGCACTGGAGCCTGTGGAGAACTGGAGAATATGCACTACCCCCGAAGGCCTTTAAATTAAAAAATTAAAACAAAGCCTTCTCTGATTGCGAATCAAGTCTGCAAGCTGAAACGGACCCACAGGCTCTCGCTTGCCAGCCCTCGTATCTGAAGTTAGATTATATGTTAGACTATACCGTCCTTGAGGGACAAGCCCATGATATCTTTATATCACATAGTAGGTACTGTTTGCTGAACAAATGAATATTTTCCCCAAAAAAAGATGGCTATTACAGTGATCACTTGTGATAAGTATCTTATTGCAATTGAGAGGTGACTGGTTTTGAGTTATAACTTTAAACAGTTAAAAACTTGATTATCATACATATGCACAGAGCATGTGTCAAAGATTTATTTAACTCATTAATGAGGGAAAAGCAGAATGGTAAGTCTAGTTCAAAGGAGAATTTGAGAGACTGAGAATATATAGTCACAGAAAGAAAGAATCCTAGAGTAAGAAGCAAAACGGTTTATGTCCTACAGGCAATAAAAACCATAACCTTGAGGTTATCTGTTCCACCAGGCTGAAATCATTTGCATGTCTAGTAAACAAAAATAATTTGCAATTTATCAAGCTTCACAAGAAACATCTAACTTTACAACATCTGGGCCCTAATCAATAGTAAATAGGAAGTCAGACAAAGGTTATATCCCCTAGGTCAGTGCTTTTCAAACTATTATGTGCATACAATAACCTGGGGGATCTTGTTAAAATGCAGATTCTGATTCTTCAAGTCTAGGGTGGGGTCTGAGACTCCACCTTTCTGACCAGCTCTCAGGTGATGCTGATACTACCAGGCCAAGGCTGACACTTTGAGTAGCAAGGCCCTAGAGAATCAAGTGACCTGTTAGACAGGTGGGCGGGTTAGATAATGCTTGAGTATGTTTTTCGAAAGGCACACAGTAATCTTTTAGCCTTATTTCCAAATTTTGGATTTTTTTTTCCTAAAAACTAGATTAATAGGCTATTTCCAGAAAATTTGTGCAGTGTAAATTCATCAGTTAGGGCTTCTCATGCAAGGCCTGAAAATGGATCTTTGCATCTACGAGTGCCAGGTCCTTGGTTCTGTTTGCTGTGTCTGCTCTCACTTTCCTGCTGTCTGCTATTGTGCAATATGACTTATATTATTAACTTCTACAGGAATTTTACAGAAACTTGCCGATCAGGTGAATTTAGGAACTAGTTCTAGAAATATACTGATGTTCCTTCCACCAAATGTTAAGGAATGGAAAGGGGTGTCTTTCACCAAACGGTGCAGCCCCTCCTATGATGCAGATGGCTTCAATTCGGTCTATTTACTTCTCACATCATAAAGGCATTTGAAGCAGACAAAGCTGTGCATCATCTGTAGTAGCAAGCAATCAGTATGAATACACCACAGATGTTTCCCAAGCAGACTAACCGGCCTCTGGCCCACCTGGAATTTTCCCTCTACGGAGAGTTTTAGGTCATCCATTCAGTTCTGTCGACCCTGAAACATGTTTACCTTCACCTGGTGATTGAAGGGACTCTGTCATGGGGTCTGGGTAATGATGATGAGGGAAGAGCCTTGGCCAAGGGTATTGAAGGAAAAAAGTAGTCTTCCCTAGAATGTATTCCCTGAACATTAACCTTAATAAGTGTTATTATGAGTTCTGTAAAAGAAGGGATCAGTGGGCAAGTATATTTGGGAAACACTGGATTAAATAAAGCAAATAGCTTTGTTTATAAAGTGTAGGACTTTCAGGGCCTTTAATATGATAATGTGCGAAGTGAATCTCCAAAAGTGATAAAAATAAGTTAACTTTCCAAGCTTAGCCTATTTCCCCATCCTAAGATGCTACTGTTTGTAAAACACGCCATTAATTTAATAGCAGCTTTTATTTTTTCCTGCCAGCAAAAATTTTTGACATAGTTTCTAAGACAAAGCTCCATTTTGGAAATGTTAAAATGTGAAAGAGCTGAACTTGAGAATTAAGAAAATACGTTATGTAGTCATAGAAGCCTCTTTTTATGGAATGCGTATTAACATCCCAAGCTGCTAATATTACAAGGACATACCAGCCTAGAATGTTTTTTGAAAGGGTGGAATTCATTATGAGCAGAGACCTGAACGCCAGTTAATTTTTTTTGCAGGAAAGACCCACCCAAAAAACCAAACCCACTGCCTTCGAGTCGATTCCGATTCATAGCGACCCTATAGGACAGAGTAGAACTGCCCCATAGGTTTCCAAGGCTGTAAATCTTTACAGAAGCAGACTGCCACATCTTTTTCCCATGGAGTGGCTGATGGATTCAAACTGCCAACCTTCATGGTTAGCAGCTAAACGCTTTAACCATTGTGCCACCAGGGCTCCTTGCAGGAAAGAATTGTCCGGAAATTAGTAATATAAGGTTCTGTTTGTACTTTCCTTTCTCAAAATAAATAATTTATTTGTTCCAAGTAAAAGAGTTTGCATTGATTGGGGGCTCTTGATGACTATGAATCAAGTGTGTTTGAATTTCCAGGTGTAACCAGTACTTTCTCATGTTGATATTGGCAATGAAAGATACAGCCAGTCTTAAACTAATAATTGACCACAATTCACATGAGAAGTGTAATTGGAAAGGTAACCTTAGTTTATGAATTACTAATTAATATTTTCCTCCCTGCTGAGGACATTAGTTTCCCAGTCTCTCACCTCTCTGACTACATGGCTTTGGGGGCTGGGAACCTTCGATGCTAAAAGATTTATGCCTAGCTGTAGTTCTTTCTGAACATGGATAACATTAAAAATGACCATTTTACCATCTCTACAGAAAGCTTGAAATAAGCCCCAGGCTTATTTATTCCATGTAGAGTCTTTGAACTAGTTCAGCTGTTTGGATCATTTGAAACAAAGCTGATGAAGAGCTGGAAGGAATGCATTTTTATACATTCTTAATTGAGATGTTTGGGTGGATGATCAGTTTGTGTGTTATTTCTAAGAGCAACTTAATTAAAAGTTAATAATATCTACTCCAACTCATTACTTTCACTTTTTTGTCTGCTGTGCATATGGAATAGTAGCCTTTTGCAAGGCACACTGTAATTCTTTAACTAGCCCCATAGAGCTTAACTTCTGTCCTTTTTCATTGTTTTCACCACTACCTTCTTTTGTTCTTTTTCTACCTATGTGCTCCAAGCTCACACTTCCCCATGACTATTACTCTCTTCTGAGGACTTTGATATTGTAGCTGAGGCTATTTTTCTCTATCCGTTTTTCGTATGTTTCACTTACTATGTTTATTGTTGCCATTATGAGGTGTTTGCCATCTATTTATATTATGATGAGAACACTGCAGTTATTTGGAATTAAAAAAAAAGTGCTCTCCATTGCTCACTATGTTTAGAAACAAATCCATTTGCAGTCCAGACCAGTTCTATATTTTTGTAACTCAAATCTTTCTTCGTTGTTTATAACTATATCCTAGGGGTCTCAGAGAGCCATCACATAACTGCAGATTAAAAAAAAAAAAAAGCTATTTTAGATATTTGGAGGCTCCTAAAAATAGACCTGCGTGGTGACTGTCCATTTTCTGTTCATGTGCTGAGTGGGTGCTGAACACAGCAGCACCACATTTGGCAGATGAGGTCTTGGCACTAATCAGAGCTTGACAAAGCTGCTGTTCACGATGTTTGATGGGCAGTATGTGATGTGGTGAGGCACTGGTAGTTCAGTGGTAGAATTCTTACCTTACATGCAGGAGACCTGGGTTCGATTCCCGGTCAGTGCACCTCATGTACAGCATCCCCCATCTATCAGTGGACGCTTGTGTGGTGCTAGATGCTGAGCAGGTTTCAGCAGAGCTTCCAGACTAAGAAGGACTAGAAAGAAAGATTTGGTGATCGACTTCCAAAAATCAGCCAGTGAAAACCCTATGGATCACAACAGTCTGATTTGCAACCAATCATGGGGATGGTGCAGGACAGGGCAGCGTTTCGTTTTGTTATGCATGCAGTCGCCATGTGTTGGAGTCTGAGTCAGTGGCAGCTTACAACAACAACATGTGATGTGGCGTGATGCGGTGGAAAGAGCTTGCACTTGAAGTTGGCACAGCTGAGCTTGAGTGCCAGCTTTGCTACTTCCTAATCATGTGCCCAGGGACAAACCACATAACTGTTTTTATACCTCAGTGTCTTCTATAAAATGGGGATAGTCTTCTACCACCGAGCATTAAAGTGAGGAACAAATGAAGTGAATTTTTTTTTTTTTTAAGTAAAAAGAAAGTTTTATTTGGCATATATTCAAAAGGACAAAAGTGGGAAGCAGACAAGCAGGCTGCTAGAGGCATGTCTGCCTGAGTCCAAAGAATATTACAGAATAGGTAAGAATGGGAAAACAGACAAGCATGCTACCACAGCCATGTCTGTCCGAGTCCAAAGAATATTACAGAATAGGCAAGAATGGGAAAATGGACAAGCATGCTGCCACAGCCATGTCTGCCCGAGTCCCTGAAGTGAAATATTTTTTGAGGTACGCTAGCCTGTTATCTACACCTTACCCAAGCATCTACCACCCATCTGTCTGTTTTGTCATCCTGTGGTGGCTTGCATTTTGCTGTGATGCTGGAAGCTACACCACCAGTATTTCCAATATCAGCAGGGTCACCCATGGTGGACAGGTTTCAGCGGAGCTTCTAGACTAAGACAGACTAAGAAGAAAGGCCTGGTGATCTACTTCCACAAATTAGCCAATGAAAACTTTAAGGATCACAACAGAACATTGTCTGACTCACTTGCTTTGCACATGTCATCAGGAAGGATCAATTGCTAGAGGAGAACATCATGTTTGGTAAAGCAAAGGGCCAGTGAGGTTGAGGGAGACCCTTAAAGGGATGAGTTGGCACAATAGCTGTAATGATGGACTTGAACATGCTGGCCACCATGAGGATGATGCAGGACTGGGCAGTATTTTCTTCTGTTGTCCATAAGATTGCCATGAGTTGGAGTCAACCTGATAGCAGCTATGTATATATCTATCTACTCAGGTATGGTTGTACTCGATCTATGTCACCATTACCCAAGAAATCCTAACTGCACCAGGATAACCTGTTCTGCCCTTTACCAAAGGAGCTATGTCGTTAGTTAAATAATTTCAAAGTCATTTCAAGCCCCCAAATTCTCTAGTTGTTCATCTAGAGCTAACTCCCTCTCCCTATGATTCAAAAATCCTGACATTGAGGCCTTCTTACTTTTTCTTCTCAAAGTAAGCTAGAATGTATTCATCAAGCACAGAACATTTCTGCAGTCATTTTCATTTCCATAAAGATGTATAAAGGAGTTTTCCCGTTTCACTACAATAGGGTAGGCTCTCAAAATCTTAGACTTCTATTAACAGAAATATCTATAGTGTAATTCCATTTATAGCAAAAGCTGGGAGAAGATGGTTGGGATTTTTTTATGAGTAGAATAGCAGAGGAAATGTTATATCAAACTGTAGGAATTTAATTACCCCACTCCACAAATGTAGCTTTCAAATAAAGGAATCAAAAGGATTTCCAAAGCTATTCTTCTTGACTGTGATATAAAAACCCGGCATACATTTAATAGACGTAAAATGTATTACTGTACGTTGTGAGCTGCCACAATGAGTGGTAGCACAGTAAGAAACACGACATGAGATTGAACACATAGTGATTAAAAATCTCTTTGCTCTCTTCTTAAAATATTGCAATTTACTTTGAGTTTTATATGCTTGTCACCGTAAGGATGGGCTTTTCTGGTATATTTCTGATGGGTGGATTTTACAATGAGGAATGGTCTCCCAGAAAATGGAAATGCTGTCATTTGAGGGCTTAAATCCAAACTAGGTGTGAGTAAGAAATGCTGTTATGGTTGGGAGGAATAAATCACTCAGGGGGCCTCATCATTCTTTTCAGGATCTGAAAGACTGTCCTTTACAGTGTCCATAAAAAATCATTCCCTCAGCAATGAAAGGGGGGCTGATACAATCCCTAAGTTGGAACTCCTTTATTGAAAAGTCTTTACAAAAACCTTTTTCTTTTATTACAAAAGTGACACATATTCGGTATAGAATTTTTTTAAAAAAATGGATAAATGACGAAAATAAAATAAAGATCATTTGCAATGTCACAGTAGTGATACCCCTGTTAACATTTTGGTATAGCCTTCTAGATTTTCTGAGAAGTCATTTTGCCACGTTCAAATAAGAACTTAGTAAAAGGGAGTGCCCGGCACTGGAAAAAGGAGCAACAATGTGTTCAGCCATTTATCAAACACTTATGCTGTCAGGAGAGACTTTATTTTTTATATCTACAGAAGAAAGAACAAATTGGAAGTCCTCTAGAAATACGGGGTTTATGACTTTTCACTCAGGTAAGTTACAAAGCGAATGTTGTATGTAGATAATGAGTTATGTTTGCTTTTCCTTTTTTGAGAAAATTATAGTAGATACCACCTTTTGTTAAAAAATTGTTTTTCATGCATACTTACTCAATTTTGAAATTTTGCTTCAGTCTTCAGTGAGTGCTACTTTTCGCTAGTTGAATTATATTCACCCCTCCTGTCGTTCTTAAACGAAATGTTTATGAGTGAGATCATAAACATTCTCTGGTAGCAAGTGTATTCTGAAGTTTCCCATAGCACTTAATCCTAGATCATCAGACTGGGAGGGAGTTAAAGGGAAAGATGGGATACATAGATAGAGTGAACACTATCGTATATGACACTGTGTGGGTTTTCCTTGAGTCTGTGCACCTTAGAGATGTGCTAGTGACTCAGTACAGAGCACAGGTAGTCCCCAACTTATGACAGGGTTCCGTTCCTATGACTCCGTTGTTAGTCGGTTCTGATGTAAGTCTGATAACTCATTTTTTTTTAAAAAGTTTTCATTAGTATTGCCCTTTAGTATCAGTATCTTTATAAATTTGATCTTTATTTGTCTTTGAGGGTTGTTATGAGAATGATATCATCACCAAATTACACGCTGCAACATTGTATGTAGTATGTATTACTAACAATAACATGTACGAAAAAAAACAGAACAAAACCAGAACAAAAAACAGACAATCGTAAGTGCTGTTCATGGTAACTCCAATATGTAGTAAGTCGGGTGTTATCCATAGTGGGTAATTCAGAGTGTAGGATTTGGGGTCAAATTGTATGCCGTCCACTCCTTTCCAACTCATAGCAACCCCTATAGGGTTTCCTAGGCAGTAATCTTTACGGGAGCAGCTTGCTATGCAATCCCTGCTATGTTTGAGCCCACTGTTGCAGCCACCATGTCAATCTATCTCATTGAAGGTCTTCCTTTTTTTCGCTTACCCTATACTTTACCAAGCATGATGTCTTTTTCCATGGACTGATCCCCCCTGATAACATGGCTAAAGTGTGTGAGATGAAGTCTTGCCATCCTTGCTTCTAAGGAGCATTCTGGCTGTACTTCGTCCAAGACAGACTTGTGTGTTCTTCTAGCAGCCCATGGTATATTCAGTATTCTTTGCCAACACCACAATTCAAAGGCATCAACTCTTCTTCGCTCTTCCGTTTTCATTGTCCAGCTTTCTCATGGATATGAGGCAATGAAAAACACCATGGCTTGGTTTAGGTGCATCTTAGTCCTCAAAGTGACATCTTTGTTTTTTAACACTTTAAAGAGGTCTTTTGTAACAGATTTTCCCAGTGCACTACATCGTTTGATTTCTTGACTGCTGCTTCTGTGGGCATTGATCGTGGATCCAAGTAAAATGAAATCCTTAACAATGTCAATCTTTTCTCCATTTATCGTGATATTGCTTCTGGGTCCAGTTGTGAGGATTTTTGTTTTCTTTATGTTGAGGTGTAATACATACTGAAGGCTGTAGTGTTTGATTTTCATCAGTGTTTCACATCCTCTTAACTTTCAGCAAGCAAGGCTGTGTCACTGCATATCGCAGATTGTTAATAAGTCTTCCTCCAATCCTGATGCAACATTCCTCTTCATATAGTCCAGCTTCTTGGATTATTTGCTCAGCATACAGATTGGATAAGCATAGTGAAAGGATACAACCCTGATGCACACCTTTGTTGATTTTAAACCACGCAGTATCCCCTTGTTCTGTTCGAACAACTGCCTCTTGGTCTATGTACAGGTTCCACTTGAGCACAATTAAGTGTTCTGGAATTCTCATTCTTCGAAACGTTACCCATAATTTGTTATGATTCACACAGTCGAATGCCTTTACGTAGTCAATAAAACACAGGTAAACATCTTGCTGGTATTCTCTGCTTTCAGTCATGATCCATTTGACATCAGCAATGATAGCCTTCATTCCACGTCCTCTTCTGAATCTGGCTTGAATTTCTGGCAGTTCCATGTTGATGTACTACTGCAACCATTTTTGACTTACCTTCATTAAAATTGTACTTACAAGTGATATCAGTGATATTGTTCGATAATTTCCACATTTGTTGGATCACCTTTCTCTGGAATGGGCAGAAATATAGATCTCTTCTAGTTGGTTGGCCATGTGGCCATCCTCCAAATTTCCTGGCATAGATGAGTGAGTGCTTCCAGGCTTGCATCCATTTTTTCAGACATCTCAATTGGTATTCTGTCAGTTCCTGAAGGCTCGTTTTTTCCAGTGCCTCCAGTGCGGCTTGGACTTCTTCCTTCAATACCATCAGTTCCTGATCATATGCTACCTCTTGAGATGGTTGAATATTGACCAGCTCTTTTTGGTATAGTGACTCTGTATATTCCTTCCATCTTCTTTTGATGCTTCCTGCATTGTTC